AAAAAAAAAAAAAAAAAAAAAAAAATTAAAGGAGAAGGCTTTCCCACACAAGGCCCCTTAAAACAAGTATTACTGAAACTGTGTCCAATTCACCTGTGTCTACCCTATAACTATATAAATTGTGGATTTTAGCCAAGTACAGTGGAACACACACCAGCACTCTGAGAGGCTGAGGCAGGAGGATCTGAAGTTTGAGCCCAGCCTGGGAAACTTAGCTAGACCCTATCTCAAAATTTTTTTAAAGGCAAGGGATGCAGCTCAGTCCAAAGGCCCTGGGTTCAGTCCCCACTGCTAGAAAAAACAAATGTAGATTCCTAAGGAAAACATTCTCAGCATTTTATTTGTCAATTTGGAGCTGCTCCTAATAATGCCTGGATCTGCTAGAACCGTGTCACATCACACAAAGGGTCTGAGGAAAAAGTTGTACTGCGGCTTGGGAGGTGCTCAGATGCCCTATTCCCGGCTGCTGGCTAGTCAGTTAGGTATGTGGACCAGCAGGTCCTAGGATATGCCTGTGCTGGCGTGCACCCAATTAAGTCCAGGGTCCCTCTGAGGTGCTCGTAGCCAACGCCCAGCCCAGCAAAGGTAATGCGCCCCAGGTCAGCCATATCCGGGTCTTCTGAGTTGTCTGGAGGGCACCTGTGGTCAGGGAAGGACAGAGTAGACCCCAGCAGCTTTCTGGGAGGGACTTTAAACAGCACAATTATTGCAAAGAAAGAAAGTTGAGGAATAGATGAGAAAGAAGCAGGTAGTAGGATAAAGAAAAAAAAAATCAAATCAGAAAAACTAAAGAGCAGTCTGAATTGTCCAGTGTTCCAAGTCACAAGTCATCTGTCAACTGTTTGGGTAAATGTGATTGTTTCTTTTCCTTTCTTTTTGGTGCTGGTACAAAGATTGAACTGAGGGCCTAAGCACATGTGAGGTGAGCATTCCACCACTGAGCTTACACACCCAGCTCTTTTAGTCTTCTTTATTTTGAGACAGGGTTTTGCTAAAGCGTCCATGCTGGGCTCAAACTCTTTATCCTCCCGCCTCGGCCTGCCCGAGTGCTGGGATTACAGGTGTGTACCACCATGCCCAGCCCGGATGACTTCTTGATTGAAGCTGACACCAATTCCTCAATCCCTGGGGTTCTTTCTCTACCCTACCTTACTACAGAGGAGGTGGATTCTCTATCCCACACGCTCAGCACCAGAGAGGTGTCTGAGATTTCAGAGGTTTCAGATTTTAAAACATCTGCATAGTCTTGACTGGTGGAGGTGCGTCTCTGATCCGAGGATCTGACTTTGTGAGTCTCATGGTGAGCGTGGAGTTTGAGGTTTCGGAGCATTTTCAACTTCAGATTCTCAGACTATGGATGCTTCTTCTGGACCAGCTTCCCTCCCTCCCAGATTTCTCACCACTGATATTCCTAAGTAGGTCCCACCAACGCTTTTGTGCTTACAGAGCGATGACGGCCATCTTTCAGAGAGACAGGAAGGTGGGAGAGGAAACCAAAATAAAAGCAGGGGGTGTTCACACAAGTCCAGCATCGCACCAGGGCCTTGGTCCACTGTCAGTGTCGTTTCTCAACAATTTCTTACTTGGGTGCCTCTGCCAGGTGACTGCAAGTCTGGACCCCGAATTCAGACCGACCTGAGCATGAACCCTACTGCCAAATGCCATTTGGACAGTTTCAAGTAAGGGCTCGTCCCTCTCATTCTCTTTCCAGGCCTTCTGATAAAACAAAACAAAACAAAACACTAATAACTTCTGCCACAGAGGTTACCGAAGGATCCAGAATGCTTAGCCTGGTCAAAATGCAGGAGGCGTTATCTGCCATCACTGCAGGGTTCTCCTAGATGGATTCTAGAATGAGGTCAGCAGATGATCACCCACCCTTGTTTGCAGACCTGTGACCTAACAGTGGCTGTTACTGATTTGTAATAAATCTAATGAGGCAGAACACTACTTTGAAATTCCAATTAAGTGAAATTTTATCTTGCCTCAGAAGAATTCCATTCCTCTCTCTAGTAGACCTAGTATTACCAAAAATGGTACTCTATTGAGTCTTGTCAACCAAAAATATGTGGATAGGGCCGGGGATTTAGCTCAGTGGTGCCAGCACCTGCCTCACAAACACAAGGTCCTGAGTTCGATCCCCGGTACCAAAAAAAGGAAAGACAACAAAAAGATGTTGAAACTTGATATGTCATATATATAT